GCTTCAGGGAAGGGGTGGCTCCTTGACAGTATGGGCATGCTCCATGTCCCTTATATAAAGCAGTGCCATCTGATGGGACCCAGGAGGCAAATCTCTTTTGCAGTGCTGCCCTGTGGAACAACCCCCCCCCCCCCAGATTTGGATGGCCCTGATCCAGCTGGTCTTCCATAAGGCATTGAAAACTTGGATCTTCCCTCAGGCACTGAGTTATGGCTTTAGATGAGCCAGTTCAGTAAGGGTTAACAGAGTTATTATGGTTGGCCATTGATGTATTTTTCTTTTTTCTTTTGTTAACATTTATAGTATTTATTTGTTTTTAATCCAGTGTTAGCCATTCAGAGTTGTGACTGCAAGTTGAGTGGCCATACACATTAATTAAATAAGAGAAATATAAATAAATAAAATTCATTTGCTGAAATGGTTTCTTTATTCATGTACACTTTTCCATCTCTGCCAGGTTGGTCACTTTCTGTAATATTACTTGCATATAGAGCATCTAAATAAATTATCTGTTGTTAAGATCAGTTTTTGCATTGGAAAACTATTTACATAGAAAATACATTTATTTTACTATGGCTGTAGATTTCCATACAAAACCTATGTGTTTTCAGGTGTTCTTAACTTTGGAAAGAATGAAGGAGACTCCGCAGTAACCTGCCTAATACATGCCACATACATCAGCTGTCTGTTTTCACTATAAATTCTTTACTTAGCAGGTATACTGAAGTCACTGTTATTATGACATAACTGTAAATTTGATTTATGTGACACGGTAGATTAAGTAGTTAAATGTGACAGCAGACCTGGTTTTGCTACCCAGCTTAGGCATCAGGTTTGTTCATAAGCTTAGTTAAAAAGAAGATAAACAGAACTGAATGAGAGTTCACTTTCTGTAGTCATTCATTTTCTGTATCTTGCGTACAGTACTAAGAACTTGAAGCCTTAGTAACATGCACAAGATTATTGGCATGAAAGCCGTATGCATTAAATTCTTTATAATAAGTATACATTTGAAAGCTGTTTTTTTTTTTTAAGCTTGGTGACAGTGGGGAACTATTGTGTCTGATATTAATTATTTAATAAAAGCTTATATTGTAAGACCAGGATTTATCATTTGAAGGATATTGCCAAGGTTAAACTCTTGTTCTTCTGTTCTGCTATTGGCACCTGGGATTTTTGTAGCCTGTAGTTTTTTAAAATCCATGCAAAAGGCCATACTGTAGAGCATAGCTCACAAGTACACTCTCCTGAGTATTAAGTAACTGAACTTAATTTTGGAGTTCATTAGCCAGGCATATGCCTAATGTTCGCTTTCTCCAGAATAGGCAGGTTTGGAGCAATAGGAATGTTACTAGTGAACTTGTTACAAAGGTCATTTTACAGAATGCTTTGTGTGCTACATCAGAGATGCATGATCGTCTGTTCAAGTGCCAGATGGTCTTTGAGTGACATATCAAAGATTGCTCTCCAAAATGGGGTTATGGCCATGATGGTAGCTAAATTTAATTTAAATTTTATTAACTTCAGTTAATAAGATTATTGCTGATGTATTTAATAAATACCTTTCTGTCACATTAAACATTCCAGTTTGGCAACAACTTTAGAGGAATTCTGGGGACTCTTAGGGATTTGGGTAGCTATAAGCAGTGCATTTCTGTACTATACCAGTGAACTTTCCTGGAAAAACCACCTTCGTGACCCCTCAGTGCCAGTTTGGACGGATCTATTCCGCTCATGCTCAGAGCAATAAACTTTTTAAAGATTTCACATTGTTCCACTGCTGTTAGAATCAGAAGTTCTTATCTCAGGAACTTAAAACAGGGCCTGCAATGTTAATTTGAAAAGACTGTTTAAATGTTTCAATAATTATCATTTTAGCCTTTGGAATTTTTTTTACCTTGGAATGAACCCTAGCAGTTTTAAGAGATAGGGTGTTTGAAATATACACAGAATCATATACAGTAATTAATGAGGGGCCAAATTTGTATTATCTTATGCAATGTCATGAATAAAGTTAAACCAAGGTATTCAACAAAATAAGTTACCCATCTTTTTTCGAAACTATGTGTGCTGCTTTTGATTTTTTTCCCCACAGGAATTGCCCAAGTCATTCAATGTCCTGTACGTTGGATGAACTGTAACAACTTTAAGTGACTTATACTTGACAAGAAATGAGAGTTAGAATGTTGAAGGAATTTTATTTCAAGAATAGAAGAATATAAAGAAAACTGAAGAGAATACAGAAGAACACAAGTCGTATTTTCCCTTTCTCTTTTCTTTCATTTCCACATTTCTCCTGATTCTAATAAATATCCAAACTCTGCCCTTTGACAAAGTCTGTGGTTTCCTTAATTATGCAGCTTGAAATTTGATAAAATAAAATAGCACCTTGCCATTTTATATCAGTTGGGAAGCATTAGAAACAAAATAATTGTGGAGTAGTTACCTAAACGTTTTTTGTGGAGCAAAATAATGTATTAGAAAATGTATTTCTATTAGTAAGTTTGCAAAGTCAACTTCTGAACATCAGAACATATTTAATCAGTTTTTGTGCAATTAGATAATCACTTAACCAGATGAAAGAACAAAGAAAAGATCCCTTTATTTTACACTGAAGCTAAACACTTTTTTTCAAGAACAAGCAAAAATATTGAATAAATTTCTCATCGTTGTGGAAGTTTCTCTGTCTGATCCACTTTAATTTAAATTTTATATATTCTTTTCATGCTATAAAGCAGTGTTCTTTGTTTACCTGATTTTTAAATTGGAGGATGAGCCCAAGAGAATGACAGGATGAGAGGAACAAGTAATATGAACTTTTGCCTTAAAAGTTACTATTTGATAAAGTAGTTTCTCCTGGACAGTCATCTTTCTTTCCAATGTGAGGCTTTTTAAGGTTCATACAGTTGAGATAGATTGGTGATGGGATGTCATTTTACATTTAGAATAACTGTAGAAGCCTTTTGGTATGACATGCATTGGAAAAGATCTTCAAAGCATATAGACAGGAAAAAAAAAAACACCTGAAAACTTCGAAACCATTTTCTTTTTCCACTGAATATTCTTTCAGCCACTGGCCATCTAACAGTCAAGAATAAGATTAGCTTATATTAGTTTGTGCAAGGCTAATAGTGCTCAATATGGTAGGAAAAAAATTCTCTTTGGGAAGGTAGAAAGGGGTTATGGAGATATAGAGGGGAATTGCGCAAGTATATTTCTGTTAATACAACTTGACTTTGTCCTTGCCCTTCAGTCTATAAACTGTCTTGGAGGAGAGCCCTCCTGAATACATACCCTGAAAATGTGTTCAGGATTGTAGATGGAGAGGGAGATCTGTTGGTCTCATTCTGTCAGTGGAAACTGCTGCCTGATTCCACTCCTTAATGGCAGAGCTGGGTCACATAAAACTAAATGCAAAAAGAACGAAAAAAGAATCAGTGAGTTGTATAGGAAATGAATAAGAAATGCTGAAGAATGTTTGAAGGGGAAAGGGAGAAGAAAGTAAAATCCATTGTCGAAAGCAATGTTTCTCAACCTTAGCAACTTTAAGATACGTGGACTTCAACTCCCAGAATCCCCAGCAGCTAGGGAATTCTGGGAGTTGAAGTCCACGTATCTTAAAGTTGCTACGGTTGAGAAACACTGATCTAAAGGATTGTAAATTGTGGGGCAGCATTTTTGTGTAAGCTGCACTTCATTCTAGAAAAATGAAATTTGGTAGATCAAAAATCCAGGCATGGTAGCATTTGCAAAAAAATATCTAGCCCTGAAGATTTAGGATAAGGCATCTCTTACAAGCTACCAATAGAAGCAAAAACTGAAACTCAAAAATTTAAAGATTGCATATTTGAAAACTATACTTCCATATAATTTCTATTTGGGATCATAAATTGTTTGGAGCAGTAACTTTAATCCTGAATAGTTGAGAAGAAGTAAACCCTGCTGAACAGTAGGATTTATTCCTGAGTAATTGCGTATGAGTATTCAGTAAGTCCAATAATAGTTTTCTGTTTGGATACTAAATAATACAATTAAGTTAAATCAAAATAATTAAAACTGGTATCTGACTTCTATATTTTTCAAAACGAAAAGCTCCATGGTACACTAAAAACGAAACATTTTTCACTGAGTATATTTTATTGCTTCAGTTGTGGAAGAGATCATGATTCCATTGTAATCAAACACATTTCATTGTAATTTAATGTTGGTGAAGCATAAGATCTGACAAAATCCTGATATTTATTCATTTGAGATACTTCAGATTGTGGAAACAGGCCTTTTTAATTCTTGGAGGATTATGTGGACTTTCATTTTTTTCTCCCTAGTATAAACCATGAAATAGTAATATTTATGTTGAAAGAGGATAGCTGGATTTGTCTATGGTGGCGAAAAACAGTCTGGTAGCAACTTTTCCAACTAACCAGTTTTATTAAAAGGCTTAAACTTTTGTGAGTGGCAGCTCATGAAAGCTTATGTCTTTTAATAAAATTAATTTGTTGGAAAAGGTGCTATCAGACTCCTAATATTTATATTTATCCTTTGTTTCTCCCTGTTTTAATCATAATATCTATGTTTTCTGGGACATAACCCTTCCTTATATTAGCAGAAGTCTTGCAGTCATGTTATTCTTTTTCATTTTGAGTTTTTCTAGGATAAATGCATGACTTGATTAAATGTGCCAGGAGTTGGTGCCTAGAAGTAAAGCAAATACAAATACTGTCTCACTTTAGAGATAATGTATTGTAGTCATAATCTCTATAGTTTGGTCCAAAATCAACATTAACGAGACTGATGCTGACATTTAAAAGCTATCTGTTGTTTTTGCTTTTTTTTTTTTTTTTTAACTAAGACAAATCTATACATATTTTGAAACACTGTAAACGTATACCTTCGATATGTCTGTTCTGAATTGCGTTTATGCAGGATATTTACATTATCAAATGTGGGATTTTCTGGATATGCTTTTAGTTTTAATAATTTAAGAACTCTCTTTTAACTAGAAATTATGGAGAAGTCGGGTGAAGAAGGAATGCCTGACCTTGCTCATGTTATGCGCATTTTGTCTGCAGAGAATATCCCAAACTTGCCACCAGGAGGTGGCCTAGCTGGCAAGTAAGTAAAAATATACATTTTGAACAAATATATCTCAGTTCCTCATTGAAGATTTCTCTGTGTGTGAGTGTGTGTGTGTGTGTATGAAAAATATAATACATTCAAAACTCTGAGTATATAAAACAGAAGTAGATTTGTGTGTTTTGCAGGCACATATACTTATTAAGCATTTTGCAACAAGTTTAAATACGTAATATGATCATATAACTATTGCTGTAGCTTTAAATGTTCTTTTACGCCTCAGTTACTATTTACAATTAACAAATATTTTTCTCTGATCATTTTTCCAAGATCAGCTTAACTTTTTATTAGTTCTGCAACTCAGTGAAATGGTCTGTTAAAAGCTACCCAGAGAGCTTCAGAGTTGATCTGTTCATTCAGCAGAAATAGCTGATATTCTAGGAATTGTGTTTCAGAATGACAGATGAGTAACTACATTTACTGAATGTTCTCCCTGTGTTTTCTGCATATAGCATAATATGTCAGGAACACGATGACAAGAGCTCTTAACTTTACGTGAGGTTTTACTATCTGGGATTGTTCAAACTTACTGATTTTCTCAGTTGCATTCTAAAATGGTTCAGCCTAGGTAATTTGGTGAATTTGCTTTACAGGTAGTCCTCACTTAACAACCATTCATTCAGTGACTGTTCAATGTTGTGGCAGTGCTGAATGAACGGTACTTATGCCCAGTCCCCAAAAGTTATGGCCGTTGCAGTGCCCCTGCAGTCACGTGATCAATATCTGGGCACTTGGCAGCCTGCCCACTCTTATAACCGTAGGGGCACTTCAACTCCCCCCACCTGCCTGTCTGCCCTTTTGCCCACCCTCCACAGCAGCACTCAGTGGCAGTGGCACTGGGGCTGAAGGGGAGGCCTGGGGCCTTCAACAGTCTCAGCCAGCCACCACCGCCCCAGGCCTCTACTTCAGCCCCAGCCCCGCTGCCACGGAGGAATGCCACCTCAAGCCCCGCACTGTGGCCAGCCACCCCAGCACTACAGTGCAAAGCTCCCACCGCCTTGCACTCCACAGGCCTGGTCTGGCCCTATGCAAGGAAGCTGCTGGCTGTGCCAGGCCTTCTTCCCAAGGCTGCTCATGCCATCTCCAAATAGCACATACCATTCTCCAAATAGTGTGTGCTGTTCTCACAATGTTTCAGAAAGCTTCTGAGGCCTTCTGAAACCTCACGAGAAGGCTGTACCCACCGTTCTCCAAATTGTGCACCCCATTCTTGTGATGCTTCGAAAGGTCTGAGAAGCTTTCTGAAGCATTGCAAGAATGGCGCATGCTATTTGGAGCAGCCTTAGGAAGAACACTTGGTGGGGGCAGCAGTTGCCTTGCATAGGGCCAGGCCACGTGTGCCTCGTCAGCAGCGGGAGGAAGATGGTGAAAGTCAGCTGGGCATGACAGGGCCTGCGGGGTGACGGGCAGCTGGTGCTTTGCACCGGGGTGATTGGCTGTGGCGCAGGGCTTGCAGTGGCATTACTTGGTGGTGGTGCCAGCAGCACTGGGGCTAAAGTATAGGCCTGGGGACAGTGGCAGCTGGCTGAAACTGTTGAAGGCCCCGGGCCGTTACTTCAGCCCCAGCACTGCCATCGCCACCAAGAAGTACAGCTGTGGAGGGTGGCCAAAAGGGCAGAATGGGGGGAAAAATAGGCTGGTGGGGAGAGTTGAAGAGGAGGCAGTCCCTGATGTCCGTGCAGCTTGAATTTTTATTCAGTTGGTTTGGTCAGTCCCAACTTCTTGAATGTATTAAAATAAAATCTCAGTTATTTGGACAGCAGAACTTTTTTTCCCATTAATTGTAATTTATATGCAAGTAGATAAAAATCTGTTAGTATTTTTTATGTAATTAATGAATTGCATACACTAATCAAATGATGGCCTGAGTAAATTGCCTTTACTTTGGGTGGAGTTGATGCAGTCCAGGACCACGGACTTCTGCGTAACTGATTTATCTCAATTTTCTAGCAAAATTTTGCTAGGATGCATTTTAGTATGCAAAAGGCTTTGATATAAATGGTCCTTTTCTGACTTAGTACAGAATCTTTGCACAAGAATTGAAATCCAAGGTGTTCTTTCATTTGTCCAAGATGCTTGCCAGAACAAGATACTGCACATTTTTTTCCAATGGTACTTGTAGAGAAATTCAATAAATAATGCTTCTGCCAGAATGTCTTTCATTTGTATTTCTTTAGTTTTCATAAACTATACAAAATAGATAGTGGCTGACTATTTTCAGAATGTTTTTTGCCCTGGCCATATCAGATGTGAAGGCTTACACTAAAATAAGAGTGTATAGAATTGCATCTATCTACTCTATTTAGTATCATAATTATTTAAGCATTAAAATGAGTAAATATGTGCATCTCCAGACTACCATCTAGCATACCATTATGTGTGTCTCTTGTTATGCCTACATAACACCTCTACTCCACAAGCTGCACTGGCTCCCAACAGGCTTCTGGGTGCAGTTCAAGATACTGGTTATCCTCTACAGAGCCCTACATGACACAGGAATGGATTATTTGTAGGACTGCCTGCTCTCAAGGGTATCTGCCCATCCCACACGTTCTAACGGGAGGCACGCTCCAGGTCCCTTCACTGAAACAATGCCATCGTATGGGACCTAGGAGGTGTGCCTTCTCTATGGCAACCTCTACCATTTGGAGTGATCCTCCCCAGGACATATGGTTGCCCCTAACCCTGCAAGCCTCTAGGAAGGTGGGTAAGACCTGGCTGCTCCCCCAGACTTTGGGGTCAGGTAGAACAGAGTCCCAGTGGGTAAGTTGTAGAAGTTTTCAGTCCTGTTTGCCATTTTATTGCTTAGTATGTTTCAGTGATGTTATGTTGTTTTGTATTATACATGGCTTTTTTGTTTATTGTATACTGCCCAGAGTCTCATAGTTTTTCAGCAGCCATATAAATGCATAAGTAAAGTTAAGCAAAATAAAATAAATTACAATACCAGGATCTGTAAAAGAGTATCCTGCTTCCCACTGTGGTAACCAAGATATTTTTGGGAAGCCCACAAGGAGGGGTGTGCATGCGATAACATTCCTGCTGTTGCTGTTCATCATCTGATACCATATGATGTATTTCCTCTGAATTGTGGAGGTTTCATATAGTCATTTAGCTAACCAGGGAGATCATTAAGAAAATATTTGCTTTATACAAACTATTCAAAATGTAACTTTAAAATGTTGTCTTTGTATAGGAGAAATATTATTGAAGCTGTTTATAACAGGCTGAACCCACACAGAGAGAATGATGGGGTAAGTACTTCATCTTTGATTGCTAGCTTTCCCTGATGCACTTAAACTGTAATCTTTCAATATGGGGAAAGCTTTATGTCTGAGTTTGCAAGTACCTTGGTCATTACACTAGTGAAATTCCTTAAACTTAAAAGGTGAATGGTGACCACTAAATGATTTGTTCTAAAGAATATATTTTTAATATAAACAATTGCTGCTTCATTCAGATCACAGGACAGCTATGTAATATTTTTTTAGGACCTTATTTCCTTTTAGTGCTGTATTTAAGTGAGATACAGGAACATATAATATATCCCTAATGTTAGGAGCTACTTTGTCAGATATGTATTTGATCTTCTTCTTTGTCTTTCTGCTAAATGCTGATTAATTTTTTTTTCAGTGCTATTTAGTAGATAGAGGTAACATTTATTAAACAACTGTGTGAAACACTGGTTTCTGTTTGGGAATAGAGCAAAGGGAGGGAATGCAGACAAGACTTGGTACTGTGCTTGATCTGTAAATATTAAATAGGTCATTCAATCTTTGATGATTTTATTATCTTTCAAATCTAACTGGATTTTGTTTCTGATAGCCTAGCCTGAGTAGAACTAATTACATCTGTTATGAATTTAGTTCAAAATAATCATTCTGAATGTTCTGGATAGCATAGCTACAGTTCCATCTTTAGAGAGAGAGAGATTATATATGCTCTGTAGCTTTCCAAAAATTGTCAAATTACCAATTATCTGAAGCACAGGCAGAGGTCTACATTAAAATCTAGCAGAAACCCCCTGGGTTCAGTTGTAGTTTATCGTGCCTTGCAGTATCACATACCCAGACGTTTAGTCTTGAGATACCATATATAATTTGTTCTGAACAGTTGCATTTCTTGCTTCACGCTTGGGCCAAGTCAGTCTCCATTCATAAATCCTTCCAAAGTTCAGCAAGCTCCATATATATTTTTCACTCCTATCTTTGTTTAATGTTTAACATTACCATCTTATATGGAGCTTTGTTTTGAGCCATTTGTTTTTAAAGCTTCAGCAAATAGTCTTAGCCCAAAGTCAACTTGGAGTGCTGTGTGTGTATGTATGATTGTGTGTGCTGTTGTTGACAGCCTTTTCTGTAGATACTGCAGAATGCTGTAGATTTCCAGCATTGAGAACTTTCAGGTGTGTGGACTTCCAGTGACCAGAATTCCCAGCTAGTGCCACCATTATTGAAAATTTGGGAAATTGAAGACCACATACCTAGAAGCTGTCAAAACTGGAGATACTGTTAGATACTTTACTCTGCTAAATCCCTATGTACAGATAAAAATTATATGTAGGTATGAAATCCTTTTATAACAAAAGTAGATTACTGAAGTGGTGAAACTGCACAGTGAAATATATATCTTTTTTAAAGCTATTAGTGTGAACAGCTTAATTAAAATGTGGCATGAGTATAGGAATTTTAGTTGTTGAACTAAGCAAAATTAAGATAAAATGTAAACGTTTCTTACCTTAATATTCAATTAATCATTTGTTATCAATCATGGAACAACCTTCTAAGAGAATGTGCTTAGGATCTCTTTCTTGTAGAAATGGGCAGATACTTTTCTTTCTTCTGTGTAGTGCACCAACAGTGGGTTCACACATCACACTTTGTCATAATATAAGTTGTTTAGGTCCATTTAGTATAACATATGAAACCAACCATAGCATTATATGAGTCCAACCAGTTGTGGCTTGATCAACACACTGTGGTTAAATAAACCAAGTCTAGTATATTGAGTGAATCAAAACAATATGTATTGTTGCATATATCTGATACTTGAAATTGATGCACGTGTGTGTGTGTTTGTTCGTGCGTGCGCATATATGCTTGCATGCATGTATTTTCTGCATCAGGAGTGGAATTCATCAAGAGCCACATATTCTCAGTGCTGTCATAAACATAGAAGTAATGTAGGAGGTACCTTACATTGGTACACCTAGTACAGACATTGTCTGTACTAACTAGCAGTGACTCTCCAAAGTTCTAGATAGACTTTGTCTCTTTGTAGAGATGCTTGAAATTGAACCTGAAACCTGTTTTCCACCTCAGTTTAAAAATCAATAATAGTAATTTCCGCCTTGTAATTTAAGTTCTCATCTATATGAGATATGATATCATTTTGGGCTCATTTGGTAGCTTCTGAATCTGTGTTTGTGTGTTCTCAAACTGTAGTGGTTTGGAGAAATGTTTTTTGGATTTTCCTATGTTCTATTTCCTGTGAATTGTCACAGTTGAAGAAGTAGTGCTGAACCAATGAAAACTGGGAAGGACTGCAGATTTCTCAGTTTAATACAAAGGCTTTAAAATCTAGTTTGCTTTGTGGATTTTAACCCACACATAAATAATATAGTATATTTCTCTTTCTAAAATTGAATTCTTGAGTATTAAAAGTTTTACCTTTGTTAAATTGACCTACAATTTACTTGTCCCATTTATTTTCACAATCTATTGTAGACTGCAAGGTATAATTTTAGTGCAGAATGAAGCTTGGCATCAGTCTATAACATGAAAACATTTTATAGATACTTCTGTATTGTTAAACATTCCCCCATAACAGTTAACATGTTTTCACTAATAATACCAAGTCAGGTTCTCTGATTTCTGTTCGAGTTATTCTAATTGATACAAAAATGGTACTCAAATCTTAGAAATCTTGTTTTTGTAAGCTTGTTTCTATGTATTCCAATTCTTCTTCTAAGTTGCTGTTATATATCAATATTGTACAACTTCTTGAAATTTTGGAATTTATTTCATATTACAGGTGAGTGTTACAAAACTAAACAGTGAGCATATAAGATGTAAAATACAAATTGAAGTATTATTCAGATATTGAAGAACAGCCAGGTTCTTGGTAATTGTGGTTTCAGTGCTGCATGTAAGGTGAAAACACGATAGCTTTAGATAATTTAGTTTTAATGAAAGAAAAGTGGCCTTCTGTTTTTAGTTGTTTTATGGGTTAGGGTTTTTGCAGGTTATTTCATTTTTCCTCTAATATGGAACATAGGATCTACCTTTATACCAAATCAGGTAATTGACTGCATGGCAGCAGTCATTCAGCTTTTGCATAAAAGTGCCTTTCCTAGTGTTACCTGGAGTTTCCAAGAATTGAATCTGGGACCTTATATACGCAGAAGTTTTCCTAATGTTGCTTAGGGTCAGTATCATGTGAACATTTTAAAATAAGTATTAAAAAACATTGGTACAGATATGCATGTATTGTAAAACAATAAACTAGACAGCAGAAAGGAAAATGGTAGAAATAAGATAAATTATACCACTACATGGTGGTATCAGTGCAAGATAAGAGTAAAAGTTCTTGTGAATCAAAAGTTAAAAAATAATAACATACCAGATATGCCTTTCTGGGGAGGACATTCCAGTTGGAAACTACCACTGAGAGAGTTTGTACCCTGTCAGTCATGGTACTTGTGATCTCTCTTGTGGTTTTGGCTATCCTGGGCAAAATTAGCATAAGTCTCATCAAATATGTGCATCAAATGTACCTTCTGCAATTATACATTTAGGGGGCCTAAAATAAACTATCATATATTTTAATGTTCTGTGTTTGCAAATTTACTGGTGATTCAGTACTGGGTGCTTTTTAAGTTTAGTGTTAATGACATTATTTAGAATTAGGATGTAAAATGATGATGGAGAAGGTTGGCTGTTCCAGATAAGAACTGTAAACAAGGATTGTGTAGGTGAGAAGTGCAAACTTTCTTTCTACAGTTTTTCTTCTAAACTTTTTCTAGTCAACACATTTCAGGTATAAATGAATATTTTGTTGAGATTAAGAGAGCTTGGTAGAAACTGTAGGAAGAGGCTGGGTAGCAGAAAGTTCTGTATTCCTTACCAATACTCTCTCCTTTTTTCTTTTTTTCTTTTTTTTTTGCTTTTAAAATCAATCCTTGTTCTTACTACATGATTTATGATGCTTCCATGTTTATACAATGAAAACTACTGCTACGAGGTCGTTTGGTTAGCATCTGTGTATAGCTTAAGTAAAGATGACAGGATGAATTTCAAGGGAAAGAAATCATTTATATCACAGTGCCTAAACTGTCACCAGTTCCTCTGAACTGGGCAAATTTGAAGAACATACTTGAAAAAGAGGATTTAGTGATACAGAAACAAAGCTTATTACGACATCCTTCTCACATAACTCACCTGAGATTTCTTCTATTCCTTTAAGGTCTCTTACAAGATAATTTGCTGGTTATCTGCTATATATATTAACACATATTCTTGATAATCTGCAAAAGGACCTTAAATTAGCATAAAAGCCTATCTAGATCAGTATGCTCTTTTGCACAATCAGATATCTTTGGAAAGTTCACAAGTAGGGCATGAAGGCAGCAGTCCTCTCCAGTTATTTTCCCCCAGCATCTGGTATACAAAGACATAATGCTTCTGATCCTTGGAAGTCATGTAGTAATCTTAATAATAAACCATTGGTAGTCTTATTCTGTGTGAATTTGTCTATACTCTTTGAAAAGCTATCTTAGATTATGTTGTAATTACTATACCACGTCAGCATAATTTCATACTTTATGTGTTGTTTCCTCTTTTTGGGTCCTAAATTATCTGTACCTAGTTTTATTGGATGAGGCTGAGGTTTAGCATTGTGAAAGAGAACCCGTACCTTAAAATCATACAGAACCAACCTTGGAACTACATAGGATTTTTCTTTTATGTTTGGCTCTTGAATTTTGAGAGCGTTCTTTGAAGAATATGTAAATAAATAATTATGAATGTTTGGGGATAAGCCCATGTGCTTGGGGTATGAGTTTGCTTAGAAGTTAGAAAGTAGTACATGCTATTCTGTTGAATGAGTATAGTTGGCAGCAAGCTTTCCATTGGCAGTTCCATGTAGATTGGCCAAAAGTTAAATGGTAATTCATTTTACTTAAGCTGTTCACAGATTGTTGAATATACTGGTATGTCTTAAAACATAAGTAATGTATAACTTGATCAATGAAGGTAGAAGTTACACAAAAATGTATGCATTTTGAACGTCTAGATTATAAATTATGTCCAGTCATCTGTAACTTTCAGTTAACAACTTTCGTATCTATCAGTGAACTTAATATGAAAATACCTTTCCATACTTTTATTGCTTCACATTATAATTTTTTAAAAATCCTAGCTCTCAAACAATTTTTTGCCAAGGTGTACTAAGATTGATTGAAAGTTGGCTTACTAGAAGCTAGCACTTCTAACTTTTAATAGTTTGTCAAATGTATTAAAGATTTTAGAAATATCCTAGTTTAACTACTGATTCTGGGGTCTTCAATCTTAAATAAGGACCATGGCAAAGCTGCAGAAGGTGCAACACAGGGAAAATTGGTGGAAGCTCTCAGGCAAGTGAGAATTACTCATAGGGGAAACTACCGCCACCTTCTGGAAGATGTGCTCATTAGTTACAGGCTAGCTAAAATTCAGGGAGAAGAATCCTCTGGTGAATCGGCTACAACCTCAACTTCAGATGGATCAAATAATCAAGAGACAGACTCTAAAGCAGATTGTGAGCACCAGCTTGCTGAAATGCAGAGTCCTAATGAAGATTCAGAAATGAGTGATGAACAGTGTGATGAAAAGATATGATGCTTCATTTTCCTCACGGTTGCTGATTGTTTAGTTATTATAATGCCTTGCTGTCTCCATATTTGTTACATCTTAGAAAGTTAGAATTTTTAAACTTTTGTATGTACTGGCTACATGCATCAAAGGCATTCTGTGTATGTAGGGTATTCTTTCTGGGAACATTAGCTATTACAAGGTGTAGCTTTAATAGCACTGTCACTGCTTGCCCTCTACCTACAGTACATGGAAAAGAGCACAATATCTGTGTTCTTAGATATTGGTTGAGAGGTTTGTGTGAATTTAAATCTCAATGGTATTGGGATAGAGTTTGATATCTAAGAAGAATGTCACCCTGACTATTGTACTAGGGGGAGACCGAACTTAAAATTTTGGAGAAGCCTAAAATGGTCATCTGAATCCATCATTTATAGTTTGTTGATTATAACTCACTTTCCATGACTGACAATGATGTAGATATTGCATGTTTATATTTGACTTGTGAATAATTCATGTCAAAGACACATTTGCCTGTTTAAGCTAAGGCATGTTAATTTAGTCATTTAAGTTATCCTGTGTTATGCTAGACTGTAGTTTGGACATTATAATTGTACCCAATTTTCTAAAATGTATTCAGGATGCACTTACATAGCACTATGTATCTAATGGCTCAAATGTACTGACAATTAGTGTTTAGTTCATGAGTTCTTGTTTACGATCAAATAAAAATATGTGGAATAATCTGAATGCATATTGACTTTCTTTAAGTAATTATGGTACTTTGATAGCCTCTGTTGCTATCCTAGCCTAATATAGTAAATTCTATAAATAGAATGAATGAACAAAACAAACAATTTTTTTCACAAATTTAGTGAATACTTACTGCCGTCATTATTTTTTTTTGTTTTTTTCCCCCTTATATTAACTCAGTCCATTGTATACACACTGAAATATATAGAAGTGATAATAGCTACCAAAATGTGAATTAATATTTTTATTAACTTTATGGATGTAATCATACCATGTCATTTTAAAAATGTTCACTTTGTGGTAAAACAGTTTCACTCACATTCCTTCAGTTTATTTTAACTAGCTAGCTAGCAGAAAGGCAGGCACACTTGCTTGGTCATAGAGATTAGAGTGTTTTGTTTTGTTTTTTTCTTGACAGTATATTCTTTTGATCCTGCCACTAAAATTACAAGGCTGGGAGAGTGGAACAATAATGATTGAGTCTCTGAAGATACAGTCTTGTATGACTTCTTGCTCATCTGTGCATGCTTTCTCTGTGTTGTAACTCAGAACAATATGGATATTAGCTTTTTAAGGTCAAGTATCGCACTAACAATTTTCTTCTTCTTTTCCTGTAGGGTGCTGGCGATCTAGAAGATCCGTGGTAGCCTTACAGATCTACTAAAATGCTTTTGAATCTGAAAAAAAGGGGGAAAAACTTTTAATCAGTTTTCTTCAATACAAGGGAAAAATTCTGGTGGATTTCCAACATTTTGTGAAATGGGCAGAAAGAAATTATTAGGATTTTCCATCATTTGTTCATATTTGTGTTTTCTGATATTGCCACTCTTAGCATTGCCTATACTACAGTATTTTTACCAGCCTTGGGCATATTGGTTACATCAATATGGAGCCAGAGCCCTAAAAACCAAGGAATAATGCTTGGAGCACTTCACTAAATGTACATAAAGTACCATGGGATTGTAGTTGTACCCTGAAGACACTATGGTTTAACAAAACTTACAATACATGCACACCTGAGTGCAAATAATTGTAACAAGACACTTACTTCACCTTACCAAGATGGAAATCTTTTACAGCTCTGGGCTTTGGAAGTCATTCAGTTGGGCAATATGCTATAGGATGTGTATTTTTTTTTTTTAATTTTCCAGTTTTACCTGTATTACCAGACTGTTAGGATTTCCCTACAGTGTCCAAATTGTGATATGTTGCCTATTGCTTGCTTGAGATAAAGTGTATTTGGCAATAATATAAGGAGATTTTAGGCATCTAAACAAATACGAATTTTACGCATGTGTATAACACATCCTTAAACTCTTGCTACAAGAAATCTTTTTAAACCAAACAACTTAATTTATGGTTAGTTGTAATTTGCTTTGACATCTCACTCATTGCTGCGAGTTTTTTTAAATGCTGAATATTTGCCTTTATTATAATGTAAATTGTGATTTTGTTCTAAATGTGGTTTTCTATAGGTTTTTTTTTTCTTTGATTTCTATCAGCTTAAAAGAGAGGTCTTGTGTAATATGGGTATAATTTTTAATTGTTTGCATTATTTACAAAGTTCAAATTATCACTTTGAGATTACTATAAATACAGCTAAAATTATCTATTTTAAATCTAAGAAAATATTAGAGATATTTTCATGGGTTCAGTGACCTTTCATTTTATAAGCAATGGGCATGGTACAGAGTGGCCGTCATGTAAGGTACTTGAAGATTCTTAGTTTAATTCTATTTTTGCAATAACCTTATTTTTTTCTTAATTCTTTTGAGTTGTGCATGTATTGAGTCCAGTTAATGCTAAAAGTGGAGAAGAGTAAAGTATTTATCTAAAAAAAAAATAAAAGCTATTGGGGAGGGGAAATAATGAATGTATCCATCTGTACATGACTTACATGCTGTGGATGCCTTGTAAACATTTTCCTATTTGTTTAAACTGTGTTTCAAACGAGGATGTAATTGCCCTTGTGTGTAGTTTAAGCTAATGACAGTCATCAACTGGTTTTGTGTGAAATAAAATTCATGGTATTTTTCTGTAACCTTCCTCCCCCTCCCCTTACCCACACTTGAGTGTAAAACCTTGTACACTCTTATAACCTGGTGCCTATAGCCAGCTTTCCCAAACATTTGGTTCATTGTGTTTTTTATTTTATTTTATTTTAATTTCTTTGGCAGTGGGGTGGTCTAGAGAGGATTATTGCCACAATATATTTTATTTATTCATTAGATTTTAGCCTTGTAAGTTAAAAAGTGTTTTAAATGATGATGTTAACAGGTATTTGTCCCTACTGTTTTTTGTTTCATTTTCCTTTTGGGGTTGTTAAAAGCTAGGGAACGAAGAATGCAAAATGGTTTATTGTTCAGACTGTCTGCTCTGGTCTAATCCTGTACTGATAGTACCTTCCCAGTATGATATTGTGATGTTTCATACAATACAGTGAACATAACCAACTTGTTATCTTCAATAAAGGATTGCTAAAACAGTGAGAGGCCCTATTTTGTGGGGAAATAGAGAAAAATTATTCAGTTCTGTAATAGGAGATAACATAATGTATGTGTATTGTGATCATGATATATAAGAGGTAATGAACTTGGGCCTTTATTGAATGCTTGGGTTCAAATAGCAATCATATATCAGTAATGTACAGATTGATATAAACAAGATCAGTAATGTGCAAATAGATACAGTCCATAAATTAAGATCTGTAAATTTCATTGGATCAAAGACAGTTCTCAAGAATTGAATACATATAGAACATGCAAAAGATAATAGGGTTTTATAACACACTGATGGAATATAACTCATAAAACTCATACCAATAACAATCCTGCTGAACATTTCTCAAAAATAACATACTCAAATTGTTGAGTTACCATACTATATCATATAATAATTGTGGGACTGAAGAGTCTCTAAAAGAGAGAAAATGAACAGAGAACTAAACACTATTTCTTTCAGCACAATGCCCTTAGAAAAGGTATGGTTGACCAGATACTATTGACTGGGCTAGATCCATTTTCATTAGCATCAAACTGCAGTTTAAGATGTTTTATTAGATGCCAAAACCAGTCTATTACACCTAATGAATATTAGAAACCAGAGTTTACATTAGCGTATCTAAGAATGTAAACTTGTTTCTTTTTCCAATTAAAAATTTCAGATTTATAGAATGGTAACAAGTGCATTGTAGGTATTTATACCTGAATAACTCAAATCTAGATTACTACTCACAGGACTCCCATACTAAAAGAGATACAGTCTATCATTTCTCCCTCTCCTTGTGTCCTCTCCCATTTTGCTTTGTGGGGGTCAGGTAACTCTTCAAAATATAAAGGGAAATAATGCCAAGGGCTATCAGAAGGAGTGGGAAATTGGGAACCTTCCCTCCCTCAGGAATTTTTGCTAGATCTTGGTCATTTCCATGAACGGGAAGAGCCTTTCCATTTGCTGAAGAAATGCTGTAGATCCAAACCAGTAGATATGGAAGGATACCACTACAGTAGAGTTAATCTATTCACTAAGATCTCCTCCTTCAAATAGTCACCCTGTTGTTGCAAGCTTTATTGCCAGAATCCTGTAGATCAAGTCAATGAGGATATGTGTAAGATGAAGTACAACCTAAATTCTTTAGTAAAGCAGGTTTTGTAACAATTTTTGCTGTTTGTAACTTAAAGTAGGAATTAAACCTGTCTTAATACATTTATAATAGATTTGTACTCATTGCCCTGAAACTCCATATGGCAGCACTGTTTAAGTTAAACCCCAGCTATTTTATATAAAGTACTGGCTTACTTCAAATAGGTGCTGCAAAAGGCTTTGAATCAACAATCTTGATGCATTTGAGGTGTAAAGCTGGGCTTTTTTGTTACTGCAATAGTCCCAGCTAATCTTGTTTCTACAGAGCAACATTCTGCCAACCATAGTGTGGATGTGTTCATCTTATTGGTAGCCTGTCAGTTCTACTGAAACATGATCTTAAGCTACACCATGGCTTATTTCCAAATTAAGCCTTTCCACTTAATGCCTGTTACTACCACTGCCAGCTGAATTGATTTTAAGTTACTAGTAAAATGCTGCAAGAAATCAAGCTCTAATGAGTCCCATTAATAGGAATCATTGTAACAAAATAACTTCATTATGTAGACTACTCTTGTGCATGTTTTATTCAGAAGTTACAAAAAAGAAACAACCTTAGTATATTAAATCTGGTTTTCAGGCTAATTAAAGTTGTAACTCTCATGAACTTGCAGCTGTGAAAAGCCACTTAGAGATTCAGTTGATTATCTGTGCAGAACAGGTTGTGTGCAACATCTCATGGCATGACATTGCTGGGTTTCTTCCTCAGATACCAGTGCAAGCCATTCCCTTTTGTTTACACTAGTAAAAACCACAAATATTTGTGTGATAAACTGTTAGCTATTATATAGATTGCCAAATAGAACAATTTTCAGGTGGCTTACATTTCAAATAGCCATTTAGTACTGGATAAAGTGAAGCATTTGCCATTCTGGCTGTTAGGTTCTGGCTTAGCTATGGTGTGATTTGTTTTAGATGGTGGTGGTGATGGAAAAAACAAACCTGATCAGATCAATAAATATTTGGGTGGGTTTTTTAATTTTAAAATTGCTTGTGAGATGGGCAGTGTCTAAATTTGAAATATAAATATAACTTTTATACCAAAGTCTAGTAAGAGAGATCACAAAGCGGGATTGAAGCCAGATCAACTTTACATTTAATCAAGTTTTATTTAATTTCATAAGAAATTTTATGAATTCAAATAGATGAGATGGTGATCTGTAAGTAGCAGATTTATGCAAGATTTTGACTGAATAAGATTCATTTTGTTGTCATAAAGAACTCCTCTGTTATCAACATTCTCTGGCACTATATCTTCCTTGTGTTTTACAGCTACTTTCTTGTGCTCTTCATGGTCTGTAAACACCACTTTAACATCCTAGTTCAGCTTCAACCAACCAACCACCTTTTGGGTGCGTTTAATTACAATTCCTTCCTCCCCCTCAGCCAAAGCAACCATTAGGGTGTTGTGAACTTAGTCCAAAACAGGCAATTCCAACTGGAGAAAACTGATGTTTTAAAGATCCCGTTTACATAGCAAACCATGTAACCTCCATTTGATGAAGCTGTAACAGTCTATGATGCCTAGGGCTTCTGTAAATGTGTGAATCTGGTGCATGTCAATCTGTTCATAAGTATAAACATACTATTTGTATCATAATTGTTTTTGTTTTTTATTTGTGGTTTGATTTTACAGTCTTTGTATTTTAACAAATGAATCCTAAAAACAGAACAGAATACTGAGCCTTTGATTTTGATATTTGAATCCTGCATATGGTATGTATTATTGAAGGAACAGAAGCTCCATCTCTTTTAACATTCTTGTCAGCTTCATAGATGACACTGTATAACAAAGCATGAATCCCAAATGCCTACTAAACTTTTGGCAGGCTAGTGGCTCTGAAAACTAACATGATGTTTAATTTGTTTTTCTGTTCCTTGTATGTAATACAAATGATAATACTTTCATATACTTATTGCTGGAAACTACTATTTCTTCCTTAACCAATTCACAAAGTGTCCATGAAAATGATTACTAAATTGATGAAGTTGGCTTATCAGAGCACAGATAGTTAGGCAGCCGTAGGCAAGATGTTTTAACTAATTCATTCTGAGCAACTGAATTGTCTAGAAACTTTGCAAACACCTAACTAAAAGGATAGCCCATCGGTACCTCATTCCCAGCCATGCAACTACACTCAAATGTTATTTCAAGTACTTAGTTTAATGGTTGGGATTGTAAGTGAGAGTCATTTGCATACATACAAACACAAAAGATGCTTCAAAAGAGAAAAGGGCAAGGTTGTTAGATGTGCAATGGCAAGGGACTTCTTGCCCTGTTTACTTGAAATGTAAGTATATACCTGATTTATGGGGTGTGGCTATCTTGCAGTGTCATGGCTAACAGAGGACTGTATTGTAGAAATCACACTCTGGGTCCTTCCTCTCAAGATGCTGTGGATGTAGAATATCTTTTGAATGGCATGTCAGTAATGGTCTCTGGTCATGTAGCTGGAGGGCTTTGCTTTACATACAAGTGTTTTTCTCATGCTGGGGAGAATGTAAGGCTTCTGAATGGGGTTCAAAAGCCTTGATCTGTGGAGCTTTTTACTTGCTTTTCTTGTTAGGTGTTAATCTGTGCTTTAAAGCTATACCAAAGTGGTAAAAGATTCTCACCCGTAGTATGATGTATCTGTTTCACCTATATAGCTCCACCTGCTCACTTCAAATTTTTCAGCTGCTTTTTCTAAATAAATCAGGATAACCAAACAGTGAAATGCATTGCAAAACAAAAATACAACTTTAACTATGATAATTTCTCTTCTGTCTTGGGGCAGAATATGTGGAGACACCAGGTTGGGGAAAATTGCTCTGCTGGATTTGGTGGGCATCAGGTAGCAGAGCTCTGCAATGAAATGATCAAACCTTTTGGTCTGAGGCCAAATTGGTGGCCAAAGTGGCAAGAAGCTTTACCGAGGGGGCAAAACCTTGAGGCAGCTAAGGTGGCTTCAAGGAAAGTTTTATCAGAAGCAGCTTTAGCAAAGTGGTATGGAAGCTGAATAATCCAGGAAGCCAAAATCAACAGGACTTAAAAGCAGAGGAAATCCATTCTGTAGCTGTTCTAGTTACATGGGGCTTGGCTGGGGTGAAATTTGGAAAAATCTGATTGGGAAGAAGCCATTGACAACTTGTTTGGTAAGAAAACTCTTAATTATTAATAACTCTTAATAAGCAAACCTATGATGTCTAACTACAGTTAAGTTCTTCCAGTTCAGTATTAAAAAGTATTCCCTAAATAGCCACTGGTTCCCTACCATAAATAAAGGTCTCTTTAATGGCAGCCAGAGTTTATTTTGGTGACAATCATTCAAGGATATGGGGGAATTACTAGACTTGTATCCCCCCCTTAACATGGCTTGCTTGCTTATTTATTTATTTGGCTGATATAGCCATCCACCTCTCACAAGAGACTCAGGGTGGCTTACAAAGATTTAAAAAACAGCATAATAACTCCATTCACCAAAAAACAAACACGTCAATAACAGCAGTTATGAAACTGCAGCGGAGGAAGTTCCAGAGAGGAAAGGCCCACATTTAACAAGGTAAAAAAATTGTGCAGCTTCTAGAATTCTTTCCAGTCCCCCCACCAAGGTGGGCTGTGTATGCCCTGCTCTGGGTCACATGATGGGCTTGGAACAGAGCAGTGCCCAGCATTCCAAGCGGCTGCCTGGCTGCCTCTCCTTTGGTGGTATTTTTCTTCACGGTCCCTGGCTCAGCGTGGCCCATGTTCAAACCTATCTTTCTTGAAGCAGCTTCTCTCTCTACTCCAAATTGGCCCCATTCTCTTCAGGTTGTCTAGAACTGGCCTGCTGATATGCAGATGGGCAGAGTCCCAACCCTATTTAGCCAACTTCCAATGTTTTTTAGAGTTAGGAAGAAGAAAAAGGGTTGGTGTTAACAACAGAGTCAATTAACCATACGTTTTATGTTGCTCTGTATTTCTTCTGCCATTCTATAGTTGTGTTTCTGGACACCTTGAAGTAACTTCACCAAGTCTGCTAACTCTCTTTCCATTCTAGCTACAGAATGGTGGGCCTTTCCTTGGCATTTTAAAGTGGAATATAGGAGAAACACTGATTTTATTCCACACAGGTTGGCATCCCAAGTTCTTGTCCTCCTGTTAGTTGTACAGTAACTTTGTGCAGTCAGGTCGGGGTGAGAAGTCATGTTCAGCCCAAAGAATTTCATTGGCAGAATGTGGACTTGCTTCCTAAATGTAGTCCTAGTTGGAAAATAAGCATTCTTGCCCCTTGTCTCACTTTTCTTTGATGGTGTCTCTCTCCTCTTCTGGAACCCTGTGACATGGCTCAGAAAGGCTGCTAAGGAAAAATTCAAGGTCAGGCTGAAAATAGCAGTGAAGACTGATAGCAAACCCTAAAGTTAAAAAGGACTTAAAAGAATCAACTCTGCAGTCCACTCTTCTGCAGGAAATGCAGTGTTCCAGTATAGCATCCCATGTGATTAAGAGACAGCAATGGATTTTCTGCATTAGTGTCAGAGTGGACTTTTAAGCCTTGTAAATAAATAAAACTATAAAGTGCCTTCAGAAAAAGCAGGAATTGACGTACGTATGCCCCAGAATGTAGTAGTAGAACAGAGGTGGGAAATAGCATTTTTGAGCGCTCCTCTTAGCTAAACATCCCTGCAAGTAGAAACTAGTAATTTATTAGGAGAAAGGTCCTAGTTCAGGATGCTGTTTTCTGCTTTCAGGGGGTCAAGAAAGTATTAAAGCCTATGATCCACTACCTGTAGCCTGAGGTGACACAATCCCTTTTGCAATCTCCTCCATTTAATTCTGCTACAACTATAAATCAGGTTTTAGTCCACCCTACAGAAGTGCATAGGACTGCAGCTCTACTTTCCAAATGGGTCACAAATTGAAGTTTTCTTGACAACAAAACGGGAATGGCTTTTTACTGGCATCTCAAATAAACTTTTATGCTACCCATAAAATAATATAATGTATCAGCTAATGTATTCAAGAACATAAGTCATCAGGGCAATGTCATGAGTAGGAAACAATAAAGAACCTTAGAACAGATTGTCATGTCAAGAGTGATGATGATACAGTTCTGAACTCCATGTGCAAACTGCATTCACTTTTTAATATACTCCTCTACATCAGAAGTTCTCTGCATAAAATGTACTAGCATGCAGTGCCCAGTCTAGGTTGCTTCCTGATGTACCAATTTAAGACATTCAGGAATATATTATTTTAACAAAATGACTCCAAGTGAACAGATGTAGCTTCCAGTCAATCCATCCATCAGAGAGACTATTGAACTATAAATGTGATGGAATGGAATTATGAAGGCCAAACCTGGTGTCAGGCCTAGCCCAAGGAACTCCAGGAGACCATGTAGATTCAGTTCAGCAATGTTTATT